GCGCCTAGGCCGCAGCCACGTTTTCATCATTTTCGTGAGGAAGTCTCAGGCAAAACGGGTTGGTCCGGATCCGGTTGTTTTGTTACGGGCGGTTTTCCCTTGCAAAAAATAAGCTAAAGTGGACATTCCTTGTTCTAGCATAACCAAACTTCAAGAATCCCTTGCAAAAAATAAGGTAAAGTGGACATTCGCGCGCGCAAGACGAAATCCTTCCAAAACCTTAGTGTTCGGAACGATTTTAACATAAAAACATCAAAAAACCAATGGTTTTTCAACAAAAAAATGTCAAAATCTCATCCCGCGCGCTCTTGCGGATTTCGTAGGAAACCCCACACTTTTTAAACATTTCTGTCAAATGGGCTTTTCCGAGCAACTTTTTCGAACTTCTGCAACATCGGTTGCGCACCTGCCAGGGCCATCATCCCTGTCAAATAATACCATGCGGGACACATTCGTTTTTTCTTCGCGCGCGCACGCCGAAATCTTCAAAAACCATGCGCCAGTGTAGTAGCCACGGTCGTCCGAGGCCACGAAGTGAAGTGTCCGAACGTCATAGGGCGGGAAGCTGGGTGTGGGTGGTGGCGAAGAGTCGTGTGGATATTTGGTAGAGCTTGCACTGCCCCCCCACAACGTGGGGGTATTGGCTGGCGTCGCATGAAAACCCTGGCACTGGTGAGAACACTGAGCGTTCGGGTAAAGTGATTGTTGTTGTTGTTGTTGTTGTTGTTGTTGTTGTTGTTGTTGTTGTTGATGTTGAACATTATTAATTCTAAAGAATAATTATTGTTGGGACCCCTGGTGCACGGCCCCCCTGCGCCGCCTAGGCCGCAGCTACATTTTCATCATTTTCGTGAGGAAGCCTCAGGTAATTCGATGTGATCAAGATCCGGTGGTTTTGTTCCCCCCCGCTTTCCCTTGCAAAAAACACTATAAAATGACATTTCTTGTTCTAATATAATCAAATTTCAAGAATCCCTTGCAAAAAATAAGGTAAAGTGGACATTCGCGCGCGCAAGACGAAATCCTTCCAAAACCTTAGTGTTCGGAGCGATTTTAACATAAAAACATCAAAAAACCAATGGTTTTTCAACAAAAAATGTCAAAATCTCATCCCGCGCGCTCTTGCGGATTCGTAGGAAACCAACACTTTTTAAACATTTCTGTCAAACGGGCTTTTGCGAGCAACTTTTTCGAACTTCTGCGACAACGGTTGCGCACCTGCCAGGGCCATCATCCCTGTCAAATAATACCATGCGGGACACATGCGCCCAGGAATTCCACAAATGTGACCAACTATCTTGCGAGTACGTATCATCTCATGTGTGTCGTGCACACTATCAAATGTAACAGAGTTGTGTATTCCCATCATCCCAGGAACTTGACCCAACAATGTGACCAACTCCGATCTCTCTGTCTCTCTCTCTGTCTGCTCTCTGTCTCTCTCTCTGTCTCTCTGTATTATGTATTGTATGGCACAATTGCACCATGCTGGGCACATGCGCGCCCCGAATAAGTGACCAAGTTCTGTGGGTGTGTACCCAGCGCCAGTGTAGTAGCCACGGTCGTCCGCACGCCACGAAGTGAAGTGTCCCAACGTCATAGGGCGGGAAGCTGGGTTTGGGTGGTCGCGAAGAGTCGTGTGGATATTTGGTAGAGCTTTTAATGCCCCCCCCCGAAGTGGGGGTATTTCCTGGTGTCGTATGAAAACCCTGGCACTGGGGAGAACACCACGCGTTCGGGTAAAATGATTGTTGTTGTTGTTGTTGTTGTTGTTGTTGTTGTTGTTTGTTTTTGGTGTGTGTTTTGCAAATTGCTGTTCTCGCTGAAGCGCTGGCCTCATTTTCGGGCTACCGCTCGTTCCGAATCGTGCTCCCGCTGCATCGTTGGCCTCATTTCCGCACTTCCGCTCGTCCCGAATCGTGCGCCCACTTCAGCGCTGGCGTCCTTGTTTCCAGTGCCACTCCACAGCATGGTTTTCGGTCCTTCCAAGTAGGCCCCAACATTTGCCTAAACCATCGGAAGTAATTCCACATGCGGTGTCTATTTGTGGACGCTTTGGGCCGCAGAAGCCCCCCACCCCATTTTGGGGCGTCGCCGCGTCATGCTATGTCATGCTACGCGTTGATCTTCAACACCATGTTATGCCATGTATTGCTGTGCCATGTTGCGACAGAGAGGAGATCTACGCCATGGTAAGGGATGGGAGGGAGGGGTAGGACGTCATAAATATCGCGAGCGCACCTAGCTCGTCCTCCTCCCCCTCTTCTTCCTCCTCCTCCTCCTCCTCATGGTGCCTGGTTCCTCATGGCTGCCTGGTCTTTCATTCTGGCCAGGCGGCGGGCTCGATGATGCGGACTCGAACAGGAGGACCAGGGGTGCTCGAATTGGTCGAGGGGGTGCTCGATCTGCTACGACGCGACATCATCATCGCCAGGTCTGACACTGATACGACGCCATACCACTGTCAGATCAGAGGACGGTGTGATGTCAGGCAGTCGTGTTTTCTGCAAGTTCTTTACGGATTTAGCGCCAACCCCGTGGTCATCGGCCGTCGATTGCTGGGCAGGCCACGCAAGTAGAGGCGGCCGCAGGACGCATCCTCCTGCTCCTCCTTATCCTCATTTTCGGAGGGCAGGTATAACCGAGCGCGTTCCACTGCAGTCGGACCGAGGTCTAAGATCGAGGTCGGTTCGGATATGGTACCCCAGTGTTCTTCATGCTTGTTGGATGCTCTTCTGCATCCTGGGGCGGGTATCCTTGGATGTCCTGTGTGCGTTGGCCGGCCGAGGGTCTCATGTTCTTGAGAGGTGTTGTTCTGGTCTAGGTCCGACTTCACTCGCAATGTGCTTATTCGCAAACGTGCGAAGAACCCATGTATGCACCGATGTCACGTATCGTTGATCCACCATGGAGGGTCGAGACCATTGTCGAGCAGCTACTTTGCGAGTGCTCGGATGGGCGCGGGGTTGCTAAGCGGAACGGGTTTTTTTTATCAGTGGATGCCCAACCTGTCTCATTAGTTGGTTGTTCATGCCCAAATTGGCTTGGGAGGGACATCGATCCAGGCTAAGTGAACTCCGCCCACGTCGCGAATTTGTCTGACCCCCCTGAGTCAGTTGGGACATGTGTAGTCCACATATATGCTAGGTTAGGCCAGGTATAACCCATTTGGCATCCAACGATAACCCCCCTATCCCCTTAGCCCCCCAAGAGTCTCACAGTGTGCGAATCATTATGTATTCTTCCGCTAGGCTGATGTATAATTCTCGCATGCTCGCTCGGTAGGCGTCCAGAATGTCCAAGGCACCTCGCTCGTTCGCAGACAGTCGACAGGGATTCCACGTGGGCCCCAAGAATAGCCCAAGATGGCCCAAGCTGACCGACGACGCCACAATAATGCCCCCGGAGGGGATAAAGACGGCCCCAGAGGGGTCCAAGGCAGCCCAAGACGGGCCTTCTATAGCCCCACTATGTGTCACACCGCCTGTCTTTCCCAGCGCACTCTTCCTCGCTCTCCTCCTCTGTTGGAAGCCCTTTTCCTCCAGCAGCACCTCCGCCTTGGACCTCCCCGGCTGGCCCGTCACGCCGAACCCCCTGCACTGGTTGTTTTGAGCCGCCGCCAAGAAATTGTCAAGTCAGCGGGTGGAACATGTCCGCGGCGGATGGACGTCCGCTCAGCCCAGCGGGTCGTTGCCGCACACGCTGGGCTGAGGTATACCTTCTTCCTTCTCTCCCACTCCCACCCCCCCCTCGACCTTTCTCTGGCCTATCGTCGCCGTCGTTGGTCGTGTCGCTGTGGGCGGGGCAGTCTCGCCAGTGACACGCCCGGACGCCCGCGCGCGCTCGCCGCCTCCGAGGGCTCCGCTGCGCACGCCGCCCCGCGGTGCCCTGGGCCTGCTGCGGGCAGAGGCGCTGTGCCGACGTCTCGACCCCGCGACGCTGCTCAGGCTCGGCATCCCCGCGGCCGCCCCCCCCGCGGTGGCCCTCCGCCACTGCCCTGTGGCCCTGCGTGGTGTGCTCCCTGGATGTGCCGATGATGAGGACGTGTGACTTGATACAGTTAACCCGCGTGGCGAGGACGGGCATCCTTCCCAAGGGTACCCTCGCATCCTTGCCCCTTCGGCCCGTCCTTGAACGACTTTCGCTGGCCAATCTCGTTCGCAAAACCTCCACATGGCCCTCGAAGGCCCTTGTATCCTCACCGTGCATCCATACTTACGATACGGGTTGACCGTATGTATGGTGCTTCGCGGTCTCCTTCCGCCGTCTTCATCAATCGTCTCTTATCGTTGCCGCTGGTCCGCTGAAGCAGGCATCCCCTCGCGCCATCCGAGAGGAGGAGGAGGAGGAGGAGGAGGAGGAGGAGGAGAAGGAGGAGGAGGAGGAGGAGGAAGTGGAGCAGGAGCAGGAGCAGGAGGAGGAGGAGGAGGAGGAGGCGGAGGAGGAGGAGGAGGAGGAAGAGAAGGAGGAGGAAGAGGAGAGGGCCCGGCGTGCTCGTTGGAAGGCGGCGCGAGGACTTCCGAGAAGCTTCGCCGCCCTCTGCGAATGCCGTCCCCCGTCTGCCTTATACCTCCGCGGACGGCTTGCGTGTGCACCGTGTCGCGATGGTGTCTTCCGAGGCGTGGTCGACCCTCGGCCCAGCAACGGCACGGTGCACAGACTCGAAGAAGAAGGAGAAGAACTAACGCCATGAACATAATTTTGTGGCGCTCCGCGCGGATTTCTTGGATCCAGGCTGGGCCCCCCCTGGCGGCGCCTCCGGCGCCGCCCCTGGCGCGCTCCGCGCGCCAGGAAGGGGGGCCCAGCGCAGATCCAAGGAATCCGCGTGGAGCGCCAAACAGTTTATGTGTATGGCGGTTTCTATCCTTTTTCTAGACTCTCGGCCCTCATGGCCGAACAACGATCAGTGCACCGGAACGCGTTGAAGCGGGGCCCGCATGGAGCGCTAACACGGTGCGAGGCGCGGGCGCCGTTTTCTTTTAGCCTGCATTCCTCCGTAGGATAGACCTGCTCGGCGCGGAACAGAGCAAGCTGGGCCTCTCCGCCGCCTCCGTGGCGGCGCTGCTGCAGGGCCCCCTGGAGGAGGATCGCGGCCTCACGGGGACTCAGGCGCGGCGCTGCCGCGAGGGGGGGAGTCGAACGCCGGCGCCAGTCGGCGATCTTAGGGATAAGCGTTCTTGAGGATGTGTTTTTCGAGTGACCTTCCGAAGATCGGTATTCTGAAGACTGTCGTGGAATCTTCAGGATACCTGGTGTTCAAGAGGTCCTCGAAAAAACATATCTGTAAGAATGCTATCCCTGAGGATTTTGGCCTGGCGGGGCCTCATGGGCGCTAGGCGTCCTGGCAGATCCCGGCCGATGAGTTCGTCAGGCGAGGGGTGGGGGCGTGAGTGCTCGATGTAGCGATTTCGTGTGCGACGTACCCAGGATCGCTTCTCATCTGGTGCTCCCATCCTGGACAGGTTAATCTGTCGCGCGCGCCGAGGTGCAACTCGGCGTTGCGCGCGTTAGCGCGCGCGAGTGGTCCGACCAACGCAGGGATAGGGATATGTTTGGTGCTGGCGACGACGACGACGACGCAGACGATGACCACGACGACGACGATGACGACGAAGCCGACGCCGACGCCGACGCCACGCCGACGACGACAACAATGACGACGATGACGATGACGACGGAGACGACGACGACGACGACGACGAGCAGAGTAGAGTAAGCCCAGAGTAGACTATCGAATGGCCTTCGGCCCATCCCGCCAACGTGCCTGGGTTGTGGGTCAGAGGTCTTAGGGATGCTTCTTGGGGTCTCTTCGGAGCGCTTTCGGGGGCCTCTTGGCGTTTTGGGGCCCTCTGTGGCAGTTTTTGAATCCTCTTGGAGGCCTATTGGAGGCCTCTTGGGCCGTCTTGGGACGCTCCTGGGGGCCTCTTGGGCTGTCGTGGAGACTCGGGGCGCGCCGAAAAGGGGCGAGAGCGCCAAACAGTTTGGAAACCATTTGGTAAATCACTGATTGTTTGGTCTCTTGGGGCCCCCCCTGGGAAGCCTCTTGGAGGCCGCCTGGGGCGTCTGAGGGGCCTTCTTGGGCCATATCGGGGCCACCAGGGGCGTCTTGGAGCGATCTTGTCGCGACTCGGGGCCCTTATGGAGCAATCCTTGTGGTCGTTTTTTAATCGTTGTTTTGAAAATCGGCGCGGGCCCTGTCGCAAACAGTCGCACCAAGCAGAGGTCCGGAGCCAGACCCTCCCCCTCCCACCCCTTCCGCCCAATGTCGAAACACCGAATAGAAAAAAACGATCACCTTCGGGACCTCATGGGGCTGCCTTGGCCCGTGTTGGGGCCCTCGCTGGGTCCGGAAAAGTCATGCGAGAAAGATGCCGTGAGCCGCAGGGAAGCGCGAGAAGCCATGGGAGATTCACAGGGTTATGGCTCGGCGCCCCCTATTGGCAGAGCGTCGAGCAGACATAGAGTAGAGAAGAGCAGAGATGAGCAGAGTAGAGTGGAGTGGAGTAGAGCAGAGTGGAGTGGAGTAGGAGTAGGAGTAGAGTAGAGTAGAGTAGGAACACAGTAGAGTAGAACATGTGGGGGTGGAGTAGGGCAGAGTAGGGTCGAGTAGAGTAGGGCAGGTTCGAGTGCAGTAGAGTAGAAGAGAGGTAAGTATAACAGAGTAGAGATGGAGTAGAGTAGAGTAGAGTAAGAACCAAGGGAAGCAGAGTAGTCTATGTTAGGTTACGTCAGGGTAGAATAGGGTATATTAGTGTATGTTAGAGTAGAGTGGAGCAGAGGAGCGAAGAGTAGAGTAGCGTAGGTCAGAGTAGAGTAGGGTCGAGTGAAAAGGGCCCCGCGAGAGCTGGACCGAGCCCTAGTAGCATTCTATCAGAGCCCGCGCTGGCACGGGCGCTGGAGACAGGTGCGCCGCCGCCGCCGCTGACGTCGTCGTGGTCGTCGCCGTCGTCGTCGTCGTCGCTGCCTTCGTCGTCGTCGTCGTTGTCGTCGTTGTTGCGGGGGGGGGAGTCTGGACTCCCCGAGTAAGTACCTAACAGCGAAGACTGATAGGTTTCTAGTGGTTTCAAAAGAGAGCATCATGACTCCCCAGGGGGGTCTGGGCAGATGCCGGACGGGTGCCGCGGGAATCCGGGGACTCCTCTTTTAGCCAACAGTAACGCACTTCGTGGTCTTCGAGTTCCCAGAATTCCATTTCTGGGCATGATTTTGAATGCCCGGAGCCAACTGTAGGCCACTTCGTGTTCTTCGAGTTCCCAGAACTCAACTCCTGGGCATGATTTTGAATGCCCAGAGCCAGCTGTAGGCCACTTCGTGGTCTTCGAGTTCCCAGAACTCCATTCCTGGGCATGAATCTGAATGCCTGGAGCCAACTGTAGACCACTTCGTGGTCTTCGAGTTCCCAGAACTCCATTCCTGCGAATGACTTTGAATGCCCGGAGCCAACTGTAGGCAACTTCGTGTTCTTCGAGTTCCCATAACTCCAGCCCCGGGCAACATTTTGAATGCTGAGGCAGGCTGATGCTGAGGCTGAGGCAGGCTGAGGTTCAGGCCGAGGCTGAAGGCAGACTGATGCTGAGGCTGAAGCAGGCTGAGGCTGAGGCTGAGGCAGGCTGAGGCTGAGGCTGAGGCAGGCTGATTCTGAGGCAGGCTGAGGCTGAGGCTGAGGCTGATGCAGGCTGAGGCTGAGGCAGGCTGAGGCTGAGGCCGAGGCTGAAGGCAGACTGAGGCTGAGGCTGAAGCAGGCTGAGGCTGAGGCTGAGGCAGGCTGAGGCTGAGGCTGAGGCAGGCTGATGCTGAGGCAGGCTGAGGCTGAGCTGAGCTGATGCAGGCTGAGGCTGAGCAGGCTGAGGCTGAGGCCGAGGCTGAAGGCAGACTGAGGCTGAGGCTGAAGCAGGCTGAGGTGAGGCAGAGCAGGCTGGGCTGAGGCTGAGGCCAGGCTGATGCTGAGGGCAGGCTGAGGCTGAGGTGAGGCTGATGCAGGCTGAGGCTGAGGCAGGCTGAGGCTGAGGCCGAGGCTGAAGGCAGACTGAGGCTGAGGCTGAAGCAGGCTGAGGCTGAGGCCGAGGCAGGCTGAGGCTGAGGCTGAGGCAGGCTGAGGCTGAGGCTGAGGCTGATGCAGGCTGAGGCTGAGGCAGGCTGAGACTGAAGCCGAGGCTGAAGGCATATTGAGGCTGTGGCTGAAGCAGGCCGAGGCTGAGGCTGAGGCAGGCTGAGGTGAGGGGAGGCAGTGTGCTGAGCAGGCTGAGGCTGAGGCTGAGGCTATGCAGGCTGAGGCTGAGGCTGGAGCAGGCTGAGGCTGAGGCAGGCTGAGGCTGAGGCCGAGGCTGAAGGCAGACTGAGGCTGAGGCTGAAGCAGACTGAGGCTGAGGCTGAGGCAGGCTGAGGCTGAGGCTGAAGCAGGTTGAGGCTGAGGCAGGCTGAGGCTGAGGCTGAGGCTGATGATAGGCTGAGGCCGAGGCAGGCTGAGGCTGAGGCTGAGGCACGCCGAGGCAGGCTGAGGCTGAGGCTGAGGCAGGCTGAGGCTGTGGCAGGCTGAGGCTGAGGCTGACGCAGGCTGAGGCCGAGGCAGGCTGAGGCTGAGGCTGAGGCAGGCTGAGGCTGAGGCAGGCTGAGGCTGAGGCCGAGGCTGAAGGCAGACTGAGGCCGAGGCTGAAGCAGGCTTATGCTGAGGCTGAGGGCAGGCTGAGGCTGAGGCTGAGGCAGGCTGATGCTGAGGCAGGCTGAGGCTGAGGCAGGCTGAGGCTGAGGCCGAGGCTGAAGGCAGACTGATGCTGAGGCTGAAGCAGGCTTAGGCTGAGGCTGAGGCTGAGGCCGAGGCTGAGGCTGTGACTGCGACTGCCGTTGCCACTGCGACTGTCATCGCGGATGCGACTACGACTGCGAGAACAGCAGAATTCTACAACTGGATTCTCACATGAATCTTAAGGGGAATGCTTCCAGATATGCACCTACACATCGCTGTTAGGTTGCTTTACCGGGATAATTTTGCTGGGGGAGGGGGGGGCATTCTAGATCCCCCCGAATCCTTTTCATTGGGGGGCCTCCCGAAGTTCCTAGGTTCTTCCCGGGGCGGGGCTTTGGGGGGGAGGTTCGGGGGGGGGGGGGGGGGGGGAGGGTCCTGTCGTTTCTGACCGCCCCTTCGGAGTGTTTTGGGGGGGAGGAGCCGCTTGGTTCCTGACCCCCCCTCGAGAAATTTATTTGGCCAGCGACGGAGGATCGCGCTGCCTTGTGTGTATGTATATATGTCTACAAATGCGTGTGCACATGTCTATATATATATATATATATATGAAAGAGCGTGTTCTACCGCTGCTGGCGGAAAACCGGGGGGGGTCACTACCGGTTCGAACCCCTCCCCCCCCCCCTCCGGAAAACCGGGGGGGGTCACTACCGGTTCGAACCCCTCCCTCCCCCCCCACAGCTCATCATGAAAAGGGGGGGGGGTCACTACCGGTTCGAACCCCCCCCCCCCCTCGAAAACCGAGTGGGGGTGCGGACAGTGGTGGGGACGGTGTTGGTGGGGACAGTGGTGAGGGGACAGCGGGACAGTGGTGGGGACAGTGGGACAGTGGGACAGTAGAGGGCCGGTAGTGGTGGGGACAGTGGTGAGGACAATGGTGGGAACAGGGGGGACAGTGGACAGTGGTGGGGACGGTGGTGGTGGTGACAGTGGTGTGGGCACAGTGGGAATGAGGTGGAAACAATGGGACAGTGGAGGGTACAATGGTGGTGGGGACAGTGGTGAAGGCGGTGGCGAGGACGGCGGTGGGACAATGGGACAGAGGTACAGTGGGGACAGTGGTGGGGACAGTGGGGACAGTGGTGGGAACAGTGGGACAGCTCAGTGGGACAGCGGCGGAGTCGGTGGGACAGTGGGGATAGTCGGGCAGTGGTTGGGGCCGTGGAGACAGTGGGGAGAGTAGAACCGTGGTGGGAACAGTGGTGGGGACAGTGGGGACAGTGCGACATGAGGACAGTGGTGCTGGGAACAACAGTGGAGGATGTGATGCGGACGGTGGTAGGGACCGGGAGTCGTTTGCTGGCGGTGAGTGGGGGGGTGGGGAGGGGTTCGAACCGGTTAGTGATCCCCCTCCGGTTTTCGAGGGGGTGGGGGGGGGGGTTCGAACCGGTAGTGACCCCCCCTTTTTCCGGATCCGGAGGGAGGGGGGGGGGGGGGAGGATTCGAACCGGTAGTGACCCCCCTCCGGTTTTTGAGGGGGAGGGGGGGGGGGGGGAGGGGTTAGGGGAGGGGGGGTGGGGTTTTGCCGGGGGAGGGGGGGGGGGGCCAGCAGTTTTCGGAGGGGGGGGGGGCGACCCCCCGGTTCCGGGGAAAAAGTTGGCAATTTTCCACAGCTATGCGGCGGTGGATCACGCTCTCTCGCATATATATATATATATAAATATACACACACATACACGAGTACCTTCATATCATGTTTGCCTTGTTTGTCCCGAGGCGTCTACGCCGGACGGCGACGACTTCTTGTGGCGCCTGCCGCCGCTGCACTTCGCGAGCCCTCCCGTGCCCCAGGCGCTTGCCGCCCGCGCCTCGCCCGCACACCCACCGGCGCAGCATCGGCCGCGCTTGTGCCGGAGATTCGGCCAATGTGCGCCCGTCCCGTCCTCGTGCCCGCTCCATGCGCTGGGTGGGTTTCCCATCACTATTATTACTGCGTCTACTATCATTATCTCAAGGCTGCCGCCTCTGCCGCCGACCCTCGTTTGTTGTCGGGGTGCCTTTCCGAACACGGCAGCAACGATTCAGGTGAGACATCCAGGCCTGAGCCTCGCCCCCTGGACTCATGATTCTCTGTTGCACCTTGGACCCCTCTCTATCGAATGACCTTTCCACCACTGCGTTTGGGATCTAGGTATGAAGCCTATGGGATGTTCGTCACCCCTCCGAGAGGAAGTGAACGATGCGGATTTCACCCCGATGCCTCGCCAAGACGAGGGTTCGGGATCGGGCTCATGCTGTGGTGTGAGCTGTTTGGCCACGGGGCGGCCTCCTCATTCTGGAGGAGGCGGCCCTGCGGCCTCGTTGTTGTTTCTGGCCACTGGGTGGCCGAGGCCTGGCGCCTCTGAACTGGTTCGGCCGCGCGAGGCCAAACAAAACAATACACATCTTTGTGCCTGTGCAAACTTTGTAGACGAATGTGCGCGGCGCCAAGAGGAGCGGCGCTGGGCCAAGCTTTGCCCTGAGACCCTCGCGTCTCGAGCGGGGCGTTGTTTCTGCCACTTTCGGGCCCCAGAACGCTCACGGATCGCTCCGGCACAAAACGTGGTGCAGCAAGGTGGGGTCTGGTGCTTTGGTCGTGATTTGTCATGATGTTCGGATTTTGTCGTTGCTTCGGATCTCAGCGTGAGTGGGCTGCTCGGGAGCAAATGCTGGGAGCCTTGTATGTCCTAGTAAGTTCCCTTTAGAGTGCATTGGCGTGCGCCAGCGTCTGGTAATCGATGAGAAAACGCCGATTCAAACGCCGATTCAGCGTTGATCAGCGTCGACAGAGCGTCGGTTAGCGTCGACCAGCGTCGACCATCGTCGGTGGGCGCCGACTCGCAAGAGCTAGCAAGATGGCATGGGAGGCACCCATGAGTGGCCTCTGTCGACCACGCGCAGAGGGGGGTAGGGGGAGGGGGGGAGGCTTCTTGGAGTCACCCCTGCTTTTTAGAAAGTGCGGGCTTTTTCTACAGATGTAAGGCCGGCGCTCTCCAAGAAACAAACTTCTTCAAAGAAGCCTTCCCCCCTCCCCCTACCCCCTTGGACGCGCCTGCAGTTATGATGCTCCAACATACTTTTGCCTTGACCACTAGAAAGAATTTCGAGCACCAAGGAAGTACCGAAACTGGAGGGTTTTAGAGTGTCGGGCCCTGGAAGGCGATACTCGTTCGACACTGTTTCGATACTTTTCTGGGTGCTCGAAATTACTTGTGGGATGTGGTCCTTAAGTACGATGGGAGCAACATGACCCTGGAGGTCTGGACAGCTTCCTAGAGGCCCCGCCTTTCCTCTCGAGTAGTTTTGTTTGTTTTTGTTTCATGGCCCGGGCCGCCAGCCGAAGGCCCCCTCCTCGGAGGCCCGAAAGGAGCCCCAGGATCGGCCGCGCCATGCTTCTTCGGGAGGCCCTGATCTCTGAGCGTCCTCCCCGTCCTCCTCCTCCTTCTTCTCCTTCTCCTCCTCCTCCTCCTCCTCCTCCTCCTCCTCCTCCTCCTCTCCTCATCCTCTTCCCCCTCCTCCTCCTCCTCCTCCTCCTCCTCCTCGATTTGTTCGAGACGCTGGATGTCTGGGGTGGGGTGGCGAGACGCCCACTGAAGGGTAGGCTTTGACTGTGTTCATGGGCCATGACCCCTGCCTTTCCGTGTAAAGCTACGCGCAGAGACCTGGCAACTTTTTGTTTCTGGCCGTCGGTGCAACTTTGGATGTGTCGGCGCGTCACCCATGGCGGCCAGTTAATCCCAACCAGACCTTGCAGATTGAACAAGTGTTCGTTTTCGTATTCGTTGGTTTGCCGATCGGCGCGGGCCCTCGCATCCCCCCTTCCCCCCATGGAGTAGTTCTTGGCTGTTTTTGGCGCCTGTTTCGAGCAGGTGGAGTCTCCCCCACAGGACGCACTGCTGCAAACAGTCGCAGGAGGCGGAGCCAGACCCCGCCCCCCTCCTCTCCTTCCCCCCTCCCTTCAGATCAATGTCGAAACGCCGAGTAAGAAAACGTTGGAATATCGAGAAAGAGAGTGGCACGCCTTCCGAGCGCCCTGCGCCCCGATCCTCTAGACCTGGCCCCCCGACGTCATGACTTTCTCATAGCGTCGACCCTCAGAGGTCTGGATCCCTTCCCCGGAACCAGCTCCCCAGCCTGAGTCCTTTTTTGACGCTCCCGAGGGCCGGCAAGGGCCTCCTGAGGCCGAGCATTGGGAATCATTTGTCTTGATTTTTTACTGCCCGAGGGGGCCTGGGGACCTGGCCCCCCGAGGCACACGCAAGGTCGGATCCTCCTGGACCTGGCCGTTCTCTGAGGCGCCCCCCCGCGGCCCGCTCCTGGACCGCCAGTGGTGTGAGGCGGCCCCCGCGGGTGCCTCGGCCGGCCCGCGCCGGCGGCGCACGCCCAGGACGCCGCTTTCAGGATCTCCCTGACCAGCAGGAGCTCGAGGGACAACGGTCAGAGGAGGAACAGTTACCCATGCCTCTACCCTTGCCTCGTTGTCCCCTTTCGGGGCCTCCTCGGAGGCCCTCGTCGTCACCGCTGGATCCGCCTCGAAAGCACCCCGGGAGAGGTCTGCGGAGTCGCGGTATCGGTACCTCTTGGTTTCCCCAGAAGAACTCGAGTAGGGGATCCGGGGATGGGCGCGGGGGTTGCTAAGGGGGAAGGGGGGTCATCAGTGGATGTCAAGGTGGGTTATACCTGGCCCAACTTGGCCAATGCCCCATGTGGCTTCGGGGGGGATGGCGATCCAGGCTGAGTGGGCTCCGCCCACTTGGCGGAGTTGTCTAATTCCCCTAAGCCCTTTGGGGCATGGTAACCCACTTATAAGCTAGGTGAGTCCAGGTGTAACCCCCTTGGCGTCAACTGATAAATCCCTTATCTCCCTAGCACCCCCCACGTCCATCCAAGTACAGAATTGATTTACCCCTGAATTAATTTTCTCGTCGAACATAAAGAGAACTTTTCGGACAATTCTCAATCGACTTGCGAACACTCGACGCATTCGTCGTAGATTCCATGGGGGAGAGGAAGTTTGGGGTAGATCAATTCTGTAGTACGTAGTCGATCCCCTACTCGAAAAGAACGGCATTGACAGAAACTTTGTGAGCTCCGCGCGGATTTTCCTTGCATCGGTGCTGAACGCCCCTCACGGGCGCGCAGAGCGCGCCAGGGGGCGGCGCCGGAGGCGCCGCCCAGGGGGGGGGGCCGCGCAAATCCAAGAGATCCTCGGAGGCCCCCAGACGGTGTGCTGACCACACCGCTTGGGGATTCGGTAGGGATTCGGGGTCGCCGCACGGTTTTGGGACTCGAGTCCCTCCCCGAGGATGTCTCGGGCGACAGGGGCCTCCAGGGTCCCAAGACCGTGCGGTTACGGACCGAGCGGTGAGGTCTTTTGGGGTTCCGATGTCACCGCACGGTCTGTCACCACACGGTTTTGGGATCCCCCAGATCCGCGCGGAACTCCAGCATTTTGAGTTTATGCGGTTCTTTGCGGACGGGGCCAGGACAAGGATAAATCCGTTCCAGACCGTTCCGGAATGCTCTCAGAGCGTTCCGGAGCGCCCTTCGAAGCCGCGGCGCCCGAGACATCCTCCGGAGCCGCCAGATCTCGGAGATGTTCGATTTGGCCTCACCCGATGTTATCCTCGTCCTAGCTTCGTCTTATTTTTGTTCCTGGCCTAACCTGGCTCATAAGTGGGTTACACATGCCCAAGTGGCTCAGGTGGGCGGAGCACACCTGTGAAGAGTGCACTCCCCTGCCCCTCTGCCGCCCGTGCCACCGTGTGCGCATGATGTACATGCTTTTCATGTTTGTGGCATGCACGCTGCTCGCCGCTGTTTTGGCCCTTGTCCTAGGGCCCTGGGACTACACCCGCAGTTTGACCGCCGCGCGGTCCGAGCGAAAACAACTGCACTGACATTGGTAGCGGAGCTTGTAAGCTCCAGCGGACGCACTGCGTGCTCTGCTTCGGTGGCTGTGACCACCTGCGCGGGCCGCCATGGCTGCCAGCCAAGACGGCTCAGACGCGGAGGCTGCGTCCTCCGTCGGCGCAGGTCCTCCAGACCTGCACGCGGTCCTGCGCGTGATGGCTGAGACCCAGAGGGAGCTCTTGGCCTTGCATCGGGATCGCGGCGGCGACAGTGGTCCCAGACGCACACGTCTACTGCTGTCGCAGGTGAAGCTCCCGGAGTTCGACGGTGCCGTCGGTACGAGTACCAAGAAGTACCGGGAGTGGCGCAAGGCAGTTGAGGTCATCCGCAATCTCAACCAGCTTTCTGACGTGGAACTGGGCCTGATCATTTACAGCCAGGTGACAGGTCGGGCCAAGGAGCTCGTCGAGGTGCTTGATGCGTCGGACCTTCGACGCGAGGATACGCTCGATACGATCTTCGCTATCAACGATGACGCCTTCGAGAAGATGGACCACGAGCGCCTGGACCAGGTGCACCAGGAGTGGGAGCGAGCACACCATCGAGCAGGGCAGCCCATCATGGATTGGACGACGTACCTTCGGAAGAAGCGCACGGAGTTGCAGCTCGAGGACCCCACGTCAGCGATCAGTGATCGCGCGCTGGCGAGCAAGATGCTCCGTGGCGCTGGGCTGTCGCAAAAGGAGCGAGCGCAGGTGCTCTTCAATTGCGGCGGCATCCACGACTCGAAGCGGATGGAGGTCGTGCTGAAGGCAGCCTACTCGAAGGTGCACGACACCGAGAAGCGCTCGGTGCTCCCTCGCCGCTCGCCGTTTGTGGCGGCGCAGCGTGAGCACGGGCGTTCCTCCGGGAGCTCGGGCGGTCGCTATCCGCACCCTCCCATGGCTCGTAGGCCATGCGTGCTTCGAGGACGCCCTGGCCAGCATGTGCACGAGGTGGAGAATGGTGAAGACTACGATGAACACGACGGCGACCTGGAGGAGGCGCAGCATGACGAAGATGAAGCAGATGAACAGGACGATGGAGACCCCGGAGCGGGGAAGGGGATTATCTTCGAGGACGGCGCCGAGGTCGAAGAGGAGCTGGCGTCGGACAACGACGGGCCTGATGACGAGGAGTACGAGGCGACGGAGGATCTTCAAGAGGCGTTCTTGGCCGGCTGGAGGGCCAAGCAGAAGACGGCAGTACAGCGTCAGATGCGCGGGTTCGTTGCCCCACGGCAGCGGGACCCCAGGAAGATCAACGTCAGCGGCTCCTTCCAGGCTGGTCGCAAGCCGACGGACCAGCGCGCGGCTAACAGCCGGTGTGCTGGCTGCGATCAGCCCGGCCACTGGCGTGGCGACCCGGAGTGCCCCAAGGTGAAGAGTGGCGAGCGCGAGCCGTACAACAAGATCGGGCCTAAGAGTGGCCAGCCAGCGTCGCCCAACCTGAAGCCGCCGGCTCCAAGGCAGGCGCATGGACCGGTCATCCACTGGGTTGGCATTGCAGGCAGTGCCGAGGAGCGTCGTGGCCGCGCCCCATGGCGCCGCGCTCCCCAGTCGGTGCCTGCCCAGAGGCATCCGGTGGAGGGCCGAGCCGATGCTCCAGGGCGGATAGTCATGAATCCTCGGCCCAAGAGCATGCCTGCGCCAAGTCTACGCCGGGACGCCGACGATGGCCCCGGGCCCGCACAGGGCAGTGATGAACGCGCGCGCGCCCTTGCCAGGCGCGGGGAGGATCAGGAGGACGAGGATGCACGCGTGCGTTGCCATCGCATCCTGGCCGACACCCACCCAAAGGGGCACAGCGTGGAGTTGGAGTTTCCTGACCTTGCCACGGTCCATCACATCGTGGAGCGTGCGACGAACAAGAAGCCCATCTTCTTCAAGCAAGGCCGCTTCGAGGCTCTCGACTTCGTCCAGGGTCGGCTCATGCGTCTGCAGCTGACCACGTCGAAGCCTTGCACGGCGGCTGAGGTGGATCTCGACGAGATCACGGCAACTATGTTCAAGATCGTGAGGGGCGGAAATCGCGATACCAAGCCCCGTGGCGATCGGCGCGGTGAAGGCGGGAATCGCGACACCAAGCGTCGTGAAGATCATCATCGAGATCGCCGTGGCGACCGCCGCCGCGATCGGGGAGCTGTTCTCCGTGAGCATCGTGCCCCTCCTCCGCCCGAGGCGGAGGCCCCCTCGCGTTCGAGGTCGCGGAGTGCACCGGAAGGCCGCGGTGAGAAGGAAGAGAAGGAAGAAAAGACAGAGAAGAGGAAGAAGAAGGCGAGGCGCAGTAAAGAAGAACAGAAAGAGAGGAAGAAGGCAAGAAGCAGCAGGGAAGTGAAGAAGGAGGCCGAGGTGAAGAAGGGGGATGAGGCCAGCGAGGAGGATGAGGCCAGCGAGGACGATAACGATCAGCGGCGTGAGGATAAGGAGCTGCCGTTCACGCCGGAGGAGATGGATGGGATCTTCTGCAGCTGGCATCCGCGTCAGGACATCTTTAGGGATTACCTGGCGCCGCCATCCACTTCATCACGAAGAACGACCGCATCGTGCGCCTCAACCTCTACACGCGCCGCTGCGAGAAGCCGGACTTTTCTCCAGCCAGTGGCCCTGCGAGGGCCTATCCTGCATTCGTGGTGGATACCGCAGCGGCGGCGTCGGCGAAGGGGGCATCGAAGACTAAAGGATCAAATGTTCCGGGGGAACCTCCCAGGCACACCCCAGACGGAGCTGTGCCAGGACTAACGTCTGCCGCTCCGACTGGGGAGGCCGCCGCCGCTCCTAAGGACGAGGACTGGGCCATGGCAGGAGCCTCCGAGGACGTGAGGAAGAGCGATGAGAAGAAACGACTGGAGGTCTTGCAGCGTGACAAAGCTGAGTTGCTGGACCGCCTCGCGCTGATAGAGAAGCAGGAGTCGGAGATGCATGCCCGATTGAACCCAGGCGAGGTCTACGACGGCCTGCAGAAGCGACGTGAGCAGGCACCTCTGCCAGAGCGTGCCCTGCCTACATCTCCTGAGCAGCAGGGGGTCGGAAGCGTGTGGAAGAACATGGAGGGAGTTCGACGACGTGCTCACCTTCCAGCGCCTCCAGGAGCCGCGAGCTCAGGTGCGCTTGCCGCTGCGACGGCATCTCCAGCCGCATCTGGAGCCCCGCGCGTAGTCGCTACCTCTGGACGGAGCTACGTCATGAGTGCCGGTGCCACGCAGAGCGACCTGGAGAAGCAGCAGATGCACCGAGCCATGTACGACTCGCAGTTCGACGGCGAGAGGCTGGTCCCAGGTCCGATGGCGAAGTTCGACCCAGAGCTCATGCAGCAGCAGGCTGCGTGTTTTCATCCGGCGGACGAGCTGAAGCGGCAGTCGAACGGCACCGTGATCTTCGCGAAGTGCAAGAAGTGTTCGTTGAAGTCGGTGATCCATTGCACGCTGGAGAAGCCCAAGGCGGATGAGGAGGACTCACTGCAGCGCGCGGACCCTGGAGCAGCAAAGGGCGCGGACCCTGGAGAAGCAAGGGGCGGGGGCCCCTGGG